TGGCGTGTCCCAGAAGCCTCTGGGCCACAGCTCTCTCTTCTCTCGGCATCTGAGTCCCAGGCATTCATGGGAGTTGTAGTTTTTCAGTTTGGATGGTGGCTCCAGAGGTTCCAGGACACCTGGGTCCCCTCTCTTTTCTCAGGCTGCAGACCTGCAGCTGAAAATGACACAGGAGCCTCACAAGAAGCCGGATGCCAGCGAGCCCCTGGTGTTCGGGAAGACGTTCACTGACCACATGCTGATGGTGGAGTGGGCCGAGAAGGAGGGCTGGGGCCAGCCCCGGATCCAGCCCTTCCAGAACCTCACGCTGCACCCGGCCTGCTCAGCTCTCCACTACTCGCAGCAGGTGGCACGGCGGCCGACCTCCGTCCCCGACTCTCTCTGCGTCACTTCCTTCTCGCTGCGTCTCTCGCCAAGGCCACTCCCTGGGTCTGCTTTTCTGTGTGTTTCTTCTTTCTGTGCACTCAGCATCCTTTTCCTGAGGCTTCTCACGTTCCAGGCCCTGTGCCGGGTGACGCCGGGGGCCTGACGGGACAGGCTCAGTTCCTTCACTTGAAAACTCCGCGTTTTGGTTACGACCATTGTGATCTGGGCTCCAAGGGAGGCGGCCGAGGTGTCGTGGGAGGCCCGTTCTCCCTGTGCCTTGAAAGAAAGTGGGGTCTGTGCCGGCAAAGAGGGGAGCTCAGGGTGTTAGAAAGAGAGGGGACAGTTAGAAAGAAAGAGCCCAGCATACTCAGGGGGGCATCGTGGCATCGGAGCATGGCAGAGGAGGCCAAGGATGTCATCGGGGCCACAGAGGAACTGAGGGGCTGAGAGGCTGGGAGCTTGTGAAGACTGAGCGGTGCGGAGCAGGGCCAGCCCTGGGTGCGAGACCCCTGTCAGGACACAGGATGAGATGGCGGGTGGGGGGGCCAGAGGCCAGGGGGCCAGGCTGGGGCGAAGGTCCAGATAGGAGAAACTAGGTCGATGTGGGGGCCGGAGCTGAGGGATGGACAGGAGGGGACAGGGCAGAGAGATTCAGGGACAGGACACGAGGGACTGGCCGGCTGGGCGAGAGGAAGGAAGGGAGGGCCGAGGGTGGTGCCCTGGTGACCAGGTAGACCATGGGACTGTCCCCTCATGGGGACTTGGAGTAGGGTTCGCCTTGCGGGGCTTGGTGAGGGGCCTGTGAGGATGAGAGACACCCAGGTTTATGACTTAAAGCTGTGGCCGAAAGTGAAGTCTTCCTGAGGAAACCATTTGTGACAGGATTTGAATGAAAATATTATAGCTCTAGAAGCTGGTTTGTAATTTGAGTGATTTTTGTTTCTTAGGATACGGTTCTGTGACATGAGGCAGATTTTCCTTTTCTATTTTTTTTTTCCCCCCAGAATTTTGAGGGTTTTTTCCCCTCACTTGACATTTGACTAGAACCGATCAGTTCTGTGCAGGGGAGACACCTTGGGGGGCAGGTAGATGCTAAGGACGGACAGTCAGGGTTACGTCCACCAGAAGGTGGCTCTCAGAGACCGCCACCTCTGTACCTCTGTGCCTTCCGGCTGGGGACCCGGGCTGTCGTCTTCAGTCGAGCGAGGGCAGCCGAAGGGGTTTAGAGGCCCTGACGTTTCCTCTCATGCGGGGCGCCCGGGGAGCTGAGGCCAGCTGAGGGGAGGGGCCGATCACGGTCCCACGCCGTCCTCACTCGGGGGCACGTGTGGAACAACAAACGGACCACTGTGTTGTTGTTTTTATCGTCATGGGGATGATACACGCCCAGAAGAGCACACGTGACGTAAAAGTGCAGTCAGTCGAACTGCACTGGTCCGTTGAAAAAATCCACATATAAATGGCCCTCGCAAGTTCAGACCCGCCTGTTGAAGGTCACGTGTGTACCGTTGTACCCATCGTAAATGGCGTTAACTTTGTTCACAGTGTCGTGCGCCCTCACCACCATCTAGTCCCAGGATGTCGTCGTCACCCCCAGCAGAAACCCGGGAGCCACTAATGAGTCGGTCCCCAAACCCTTTGTCCCGCCTCTCAACAACCATTAATCTGCTTTCTGTCTTTATCTCTCTGTGTTTAAATTTTTTTTTATTATTTATTATTATTATTATTTATGCCTATAGCACCTGGTCTATCCTAGGTGGTCTCCCATCCAAGTACTAACCAGGCCTGACCCTGCTTAGCTTCCCAGACCAGACATGGGGCTTGTTCAGGGTGGCATGGCCGCAGACCATGGACTGTGGCTCCACTGGGGGGCAAACCCAGGACCTTCTACGTGTAAAGCAGATGTGCTCCCCGCTACACTATGGAACCACGTCCTAAATATTTTTAATTAAAAAATATCTTATAAATTACAGTTGACATAGAAGATGAGTAGTTTAAGTTGTACAACATAGTAATTTTTATTTTTATTTAGAGCATTTTAAAAATTAACACCTGTTAAAAAAACGGATCATACATTTGCACAGTTCAAAATCGTAGCTCTGGTAGAGGGAATATACGTCCGCAGTTCCCCAGCCACCTAGCTGCCCTCCCCAAGTGGCAGCCACTGTCACCAGTCCCGTGTCCTCCCAGAGTCTGCTTTCTGAATATCGACACCGATGTCGTATCACTGTTTCGCCCCATTTTTTTTTTTTCCCCACACAAAAGGGAGCCGACTGTACCCTCGCTGGCATCTCGCGTCCTCCCTCAGTGCCTCTCGGGGACCGAGCGCCCGTGAACAGCCTTACCCTCCTTTTGGCCACCACATAGTGTCCCATCCTAACGATGCCTCACGGGGCTGTTCCCCGGTTGTCGGGCACTTTGGTCGTTGCCCGCCTCGCGCTGTCATTGACAGTGTCACGATACACCAGTAAACTTGTCACTTCCTTTAAGTGCAAGGGTATCGCTCCAGTTTCTGGAACTGTGGGGTGTAAGGGCACACGTCTGGCGCAGTGACCTGACAGACGCTGCCACGTCCTCCTCTGCGGGGCTGCGCTGGTTTCTGTGCCCCCCCGGCAGGACCCGTTTCCCCCCCCGTGGCCTGGACGCTCCCGTCCGCCTTTTAGATCTCGTCCAGGCTCCGGCGTGGTTTCGAAGGTATCTCAGAGTCATTTAGATTTGCCTGGTCCTCCTCATTATGCAGTTGGGCATCTTCTCAGAAGCATAAGAGCCATTATGATTTCCCTTCCGTGAATTGTCCATTTTCCAGGCGGGTTTTTCTATCAGGGTAGATTTCAAGGAAATTGAGATTTTTATTTCTAGGGGTACTTTGTATTTTCGACAAACTATTTGTGATACGAGGTGACATTCTCTCCCCATTTTATTTTTATGCCGTCAACTGTGTCTTTCTTTGGCTTCAACGATCCGTCATATTTAGAATACCACCCCCAGTTTGAGACATCGAATGGTTATCCTGTGTTTTCTTCTATAGTTTTTATGGTTTAATTTTTTTTCCCTTTTAAATATTTTAATCCATCTGGAATTTTTCCTGGTGTGAGGTGTGAGGTGTGAGGTAGGGATCCAGTTTAGTTTTTTCCAAGGTAGATAGATATTTGGTTGTCCCAACAGCATTTTAATTGAAGTAACCATGTTTCCCCCCATTACTTAATAACCCACTTTTTAGTCTCTTCCATTGTTCGGTCCATTTACTCATATGTCCCTGTCGCCAAGTTCACAGAACTGTAGATTTATAATCTGTTTTAATATCTGATGAGGCTTCTTTCCACTCCCACCTCTTCTCCCTGTTCTTTCGTTTTCTCCAAAACATTCTGGCAATTTTTTCTTGTTTGTCATTCTTCATTCATGCATTTCGTGATTCATTCATTCAAGAAAAACCTACTGTGCGCTAAGCACCGCCCTGGGCACAGGGGACTGCTGCTCCCTGCTCTGTGACACTTGCAGTTGGTAGGGAAACAGACTGAAGCAAACATGGGGCCATGGGGCAGGAATCAGGGTACCCTGACCTGTCGGGGGGTGGGGGGTGAGGCTACACACCAGAAAGGATGTAACATTTAAGCCGAGCCCTAAGAGGTGAGTCGGAAGACACAACGAAAGTCACTTAGCAGAGGGTCCAGCAAGTACAGAAGCTGGGAGCAGGACGTGGCCGTGGTGCCAGCCGCGGGGGCAGGTGGGCAATGTGAGTGAGCAGGTGAGGGAGGCAGGTGTGTGTGGCCTCCAAGGCCCAGCGGGGACATCAGGGTGGGGGTGGGGATCAACTCATTTTTTTTTGTTTTGTTTTTGTATTTTAAAAAATGTTTCTATCATGGGAAACTTGAAACTTAAAGGTAGAGTGACAGGACCCCCTGCCCCCCAAGTCACCCTGCTTCACCCTCCGGCCCCCGGTGGCACCATCTCCTTTTATCTCCCTTCCCCCTCTTTCCCGTTTCTGTAGGGTTTTGAAGCAAACCCTGGACGTCGTGTTATGTCGCCCACAAGCACTGTCTGTCCCTGTCCCCTCTCTCTGGGTCCCGTCTCTCTTCCTTCTCGTCCTCTGAGCGCGGCGGGTTGGTCTCTCCCCAGCTCGGCCTCTGCTTTGCCCCCCCCCCCACCCCGGCTGTCCCAGGCGGTCGCTGAGCCCGCCCACCTGTCCCCGCAGCTCTTCGAGGGCCTGAAGGCATTTCGAGGCAGCGACCGGAGCGTGCGCCTGTTCCGCCCCTGGCTCAACATGGACCGGATGCTGCGCTCGGCCCTGCGCCTCTGCCTGCCGGTGAGGGGCCCGGGTGCGGGGAGGAGGGCGCGGCTGCAGCCAGGGCCCCGGCGCCCCCCTGACTCCCCGGCATCCTTGCAGAGTTTCGACAAGGTCGAGCTGCTCGAGTGCATCCGCCGGCTCGTGGAAGTGGACAAGGACTGGGTCCCCGACAGCAGCGGCGCCAGCCTCTACGTGCGGCCTGTGTTCATCGGGAACGAGGTGGGCGCTTCCCTCGGGGCTGAGGGTGGCGGGGACCTAAGGGGAAGGGCCGGGGACCTGGACTCCTGGGTCCCTGACGCCCCCTCCTGACCATCGCAGCCCTCGCTAGGTGTCGGCTGTCCCTCGCGAGCCCTCCTCTTCGTTATTCTCTGTCCCGTGGGCGCGTACTTCCCTGGAGATGCCTTGACACCCGTGTCCCTCCTGGCGGATCCGTTGTTCACCCGGGCCTGGGTGGGCGGGGTCGGCGACTGCAAGATGGGCGGGTGAGTCGTTGTCCCCACTGCGCCCCTTGGTGACCCCGGTGCGGCGCCCACGCGTCGGGGTGTGTCTGCGCAGGTGCACAGACCAGCTGGGACATGGGACGGGGCTGGGTGGAGGTCAGTGGGGACGCCACCGGGAAGTGGGGGTTGCCCCTCCCCAAGAAGCCTCCAGAAATGAAGTTTACGCTGAGTTCAGGGCGGGTTCCGGGTGGTGGAGCGCAAGGTCACCATGAAAGAGGTGATGTCCTCCTCAGGTGGCCTCGCCCGAACACCTGGGCTCAGGGCCCCCTTCCCCACGAGCTCCCGGAGTCCCTAGGGCCTGTGGTGCCCATCGCCCTGTGTGTGGACTTTCTGTGTGAGTCTGAGTCCCCAGGGGCCTTGGTGCAGCATGGCAGGGAGGGTCTCCCAGGCTGGTGGGTGCCCCACTGTCCGTGAGCTCTGACGGAGGTGACTGGGGCACCTTCATCATCTGCACAGAGGTGGCGACACCTTAACTGAGTCTGATGGATAAGAAGGAGGCAGTTTCCTGGGTAGGAAAATGGGGAACAGTTTCTAATTCCCAGGGGCCACATGCGTCGGGGCAGGGAGCAGGGGCAGAGGCACAGAAGTTGTCAGAAAGAATTAAGTCTGGGACAGAGCAGGCCAGGCCCTGAGCACCAGCCCGAGGGGCTGTGATCTTGTCTCAGAGGTGATGGGGAGCCTCGGGGAGGCTTGTGAGCAGGTGTGGGGTGAGGTCAGCTTTGGGTGAGAGACAGCGTTGAATCAAGGGGATGAGGGAAATCATCGAGGTGGCCAGTTTGTTGGTGGGGGTCAGAGAAGGCCTGGGACCCAGCCTGGGGCTCCAGACACGCCTCCGAGGGTAGGACGTCACAGGTGCTTTTGAAGGACAACTGGGGAGTTGGATGCGGAGGGCGGTCCCAGCCCGGGGAACAATGATGCACCTATGACCTGGACAGTGGGATGAGGTCGGGGGTGGGGGGCGGGGAGGGAGAGGGGGGCGAGGGGGTGGCCATTAGATCCTTGGCCCGGAACTGCTGGCCAGCGATTCTGTCCCGGGGGCGCTGGGCAGAGCTGGCGGAGTAGGGTCCACCCTGTTCTGGAAAGACTCATCTGGGGTGGTGCTGGAGGTCGCGGGGTTCCCTTGCCGAGGCCGCCGCGCTGCCTTCTGCCAGGAATTACGGGCCCACGGTGTTCGTGCAGCAGGAGGCCAAGAAGAAGGGCTGCCAGCAGGTGCTCTGGCTGTACGGGCCCGACCATCAGCTCACCGAGGTGGGCACCATGAACATCTTCGTCTTCTGGACCCACGAGGATGGGGGTGAGCCCTGCCCCTGGCCCAGCCCGAGCCCTGGCGGGAGCGGGCGGCACCCCTGTCCCCAGCGGAGCACACGTCAGGGATTGGGTCGGGGCGGCTCCTTAGAGGATGGGAGGCCGAGAGGTGACGCTCGGTCCCTCACACCCGCACAGTGCTGGAACTGGTGACCCCCCCGGTGGATGGCGTCATCCTGCCCGGAGTGGTTAGACAGAGTCTGCTGGACCTGGCTCAGACCTGGGTGAGCTGTGGTGGCGCCCCTGGGGCTGGGCGCTGCTGTGTCACGGGCCAGTGCGGCAGGGGCTGTGGGGGAGGGGCCGGGCCACACCGCCGTGTCTCTGCCCTCCCTACTTCGGGGCATCCGTCTCCCCCTGGGGTCTCTGAGCGGCATGGCCTGCTGGGTGACCGTTCCCTGCCCTGCAGGGCGAGTTCCGGGTGGTGGAGCGCAGGGTCACCATGAAGGAGGTGATGCGAGCGCTGGCGGAGGGTCGCCTCCGGGAAATCTTCGGCTCAGGCACCGCCTGCCAGGTGTGCCCTGTGCACGGGATCCTGTACCAAGGCGAGGTGAGCAGGGGCTGCCCCGGGTGGGGGAGGAAAGGGGGGTCCTGGGCCTCACGGCGCTGTCTTCCCAGCACCTCCACATTCCCACCATGGAGAACGGGCCGGAACTTGTCCTCCGCTTCCAGAAGGAGCTGAGCGCAATCCAGGTGAGGTGCTGGCTGGAAGGGAGGCTGGGTGCTTGGTCCCCGGAGAAGGTTAAGGTCTCTGGACTGGGAGCTGGAGCCCCTTCCGTAGTCCCACGAGGTGATAACGGTCTCTGAGCCGGGACCATGAGCTGCTGTGGCCCAGAACCCCTCTTGGGGTTCAGGGACCCCTTCCTGCCAGGCTGCGAAGCCCCAGCCCCTCTCCTGAGCGCGGGCGCCCAGGGCTTCCTGGAGGGGGAAGTCCCTGTCCCCGAGCCCCCCGAGGACTTGCAGCCGGCGTCCAGCCACGGACGTCCACTCCCCGCGGACTCGCCTGGAGTCCCGGGCTGTCCCCGTGGTCAGGGACATCTCTCCTACCGGCTTCTGGACCTCGGACCCTCCGTGGCCCAGGACCGTGACCTCTCAGAGGCCTCGGGAGGTATTCGCGTTCTTCCGAGCCTAGAACCTTCGGGCTCCGTCCCGGCCCTCGCCCCCGAGCCACGTGTCCCGCGCGCTCCGCGAGCCCCGGGGCCCCCGGCCTCGAACGGCCCCTCTTTGGCCATCGGGGCTTGTCAGCCGGAAGCCACTTCTCCCAAGAGCCCGCAGGGCCGTGCGTGCGAGAACTTTCTACAGAACTGCACCCCCGAGCCTCCGCCCCTTGTGCGCAGCGACGCCCCCCCCACCCCGACCCCACGACTGCCGGGGGCCCGGGGGCGCCACCCCGCGGCCTGCCTCTCAAGCGCTACCTCTCCGGTCCCGCAGTACGGAGCTCAAGCCCACGAGTGGCTGCTCCCTGTGTGACGCTGCGGGCTGCGCCCGGTCTGCCCTGGGATCCACGCAGCACCTCGTCCCTGCGCTGGACCCTCCCGCTCCGCCCCACGGATGACTCACCCGAAGTGCAATACGCGCAACCGGGGACCAGGACGCCTGAGTCTCCCGCGCCCCCGCGTGGCCGCTACACTCCCAAAGCAGACGGGCCGGACCCAGGAGCTCCGCCCTCAGGCCCGGGCATTCGGATCCCGCTGCTCCGTATTGCGGGGTCCAAGGTGCGCCTTGGCCCCGACTCCGCACTCACTCTCCTCAGGCCGGATCTCTCACGTGCTGCTGTCGATGTTTTACCCCCTTCTTGCTGCAATTCTGAAATAAAATGCCAAATAACAAGACATTGGTTCCCATCTCCAGTGATGCAACTCGAGACTCTAGGATTTTCACGGGGATCCCTGGTCCTCGGCCCCTCTCATTTTCGCCGGCCCAGCAATCCTGACCCCCAACGTCCTGGCGGATTCTCTGGCGGACAAGAGTCTTCCGCTTCACCACAAATCGAGCTTAGCATCCCCCCCGCCACTAACCTGCATGTCGCCCACTTCCCCATCTTGGGGACAGCTCCAGTGCGCATGCAGTCACCAGGCCGCACTCAGGGCGAAGAAGGCAATTTGGGGGTACACATTTCAGATAACCCTCCTCCATTGCCTAAAAAATTCCCTAATAGCCCTGTGATCTTGGGGAAGGGAATTCATCTGACTGATTCCTTTTTCTCATTTTAAAAATGAGGACGGAAGTACCCACCCGTTAAGGCCATGCTGAAGATTAAACAAGTCATTCCATGGAGGGTGATTGGAACAGGGCCTGGCATGTAGAAAGCGCTGTAAAACTGTTCTCTTTTTGACAACCAAATTTGCCTTGTGATTTTCTAGGTTGATTCAGAAGGTTGTCCAATTGCGTGGGGAAATGAATATCTGTAAAAATGGAATGCATTTAATTATACAATACTTAGGGGACTTCAGGAAATTGATTTTTTTTCCTCTACATGTTTTAAGTCATTTTTATGCTTAAGGATGTTCTTCATTTGAAAATAATAAATATACACGAAGTGGAAAGAACCAAAATGTGAGTTTTCATTTAACTTAGTGATCAGAATTCTGAACATTTTACAAAAACATCCTTGGATTTCGATAATAAAACCACTTCGTGGATTTGATGTTCTAAATCTGTAACCACTAATGTTCAGCAATTATGCGTTTAGATCTGAAGATTTTTATTAGTTTCTAAAAAAACAAACAATAATTCATGACGAATCTAAAAAATCAGATTTAACCCAACTGCGAACGCTAGATACCAATTCTAAGTTAATGAGCTAACCAAGAATATTAAAATCGCTTATGCTCTATGCAGAACACTAAGTATCATATAAAAATAATGGTGACAATTAAAATATATATGTATGTACGTATCTTTCTTGTTATAAGAAAAAGTAATGTACAATAAAATTAAATTGAGGAAAAAAACTAAAATAACGGGATGGTAAATAATAATTACCTAACCACAGAGAACTCTGGTTTTCAGGCGCCGCTGGAAGGGGCATGTGGCGCCATCTGGCGGCCAATGTTGGAATAAAGTTTCAAAGGCAGAAAGAATGAAAAGCTATTTATGATGGGAACGTCCCAACACAATGTCAACATGTGATGAATTAAAACCGTTTTTATGGCACTATAAACATTTCCAGACACCTACAGGTACATCTGTTTGGGAAGTGTCCCTTTAGGAAATGTTTAAGAAGCGTTGGCTTGGGCCTTTATGAAAAACCCTTAGCAAACATCAGATTCAATGATGAAAGACCAAAAGCTTTACCCTCAGGGTCAGAAGCAGGAAAAACGTGCCTGCCTTTGGCTCTTCTAGTCAATACTGGAAGTTCTATCTGGAGCAATTCAGTTGCCAGCACAAATAAAAGGCATCCAAGTTGTCAAGGCAGGACTAAAACTATATTTGGAGATAATATGATCTTATATATAGAAAATGCTAAAGAATCCATACGAAATACCCATTCAACCAAATAAATAAACTCAGCAAAGTTGCAAGGATACGAGATCAACACACAGAAATCAGTTGTATTTCTTTACACTAGCAGTGAACAATCCGAAAAAGAAAGTTGGAAAGTGATTCCCTCTACAATAGCATTAAAAAAACAACAACTTAGAAATGAACTTGATCAAGGAAAGACTTGTAGGCTGAAACCAAACATGGCTGAAAGGAATTAAAGATGACATGAGTAAATTGAGAGACATCTGTATTTATGGTTCGGAAGACTTAATATTATTAGGATTTCAACAATAGCCAAAGCAATCTAGGCATTCAATGCAATCTATCAAAACACCAAGGGAAAAGAACCCACGACAGCCTTCTTTTTTGCAGAAATGGAAAAGATGATCTTAAAAATCATATAGAATTGCAGGGATCCCAAATACCAAAACAAAACAAAACGAAACAAAACCCAAAAAACTCAAAAAGAAGAACAAAGTTAGAGAACTCACAGTTTCCAATTTCAAATCCTACCACAAAGCTACAGTGATCAAAACAGCGTGGTACTGGCATAAAGACAGACATAGGAATCAATGAAATAGATTGAGAGCCCAGAAATAAACCTACACATCAATGGCCAATCAGTTTTGACAAGGAAGCCGAGGCCATTCAATGGGAAAAGAACAGTTTCCTCAGCAAATGGTGCTGGGATGAATGGATTCCCACATGCACAAGAATGAAGTCGCGCCCTGCCTCACACCATCTGCAAAAATTAACTCAAACGATCAAAGACCTAAATGTAAGAGCTGAAATTATAAAACTCTTAGAAGAAAACATGAGGATAAATCATCGTGACCTTCAATTTGGCGATGGCTTCCTAGGACACCAAAAATGCAAGCAAAGGAAGGAAAAAATAAAAAAGATAAATTGGACTTCATCAAAATTAAAAGTTTTGTGCATCAAAAGACACTATCAAGAGACTGAAGGACAACCCACCGAATGAGAAAAATATTTGCAAATCACGTATATGAGAAGGACCTAGCTCCTTCGTTATCTAGCTGTGTGGATTTGGGCAAAGTGAACCTGTATAGATGTAGATGTGAACGAAATTAACTCCGTCCGTGTCCTGGATTTCATTTAATTTTTTGTTTCATGCTGTGACCTCGACCAACCTCATTGTCCTCAGCAAGCATATCAAAGCTTTCTAGTTGATTACCCGTGTTCCTTAAAATGTAGCCATAAGTGGCTACATTTTGTAACAGCCGGAATGGCATGACAACCGAGAAAAATGTCAAACTGGTCATGGTATCGATTATAAACAATCATCCATCACAAGACCACCGGGAGGCGTGGCCCCTGGCACTACTGCATTCTTTGTCCCTTTGTCTTGTCAATCATTCGTACCCGAGTTCTATTATTAAAAAAGTGCGGTGACAAGGGTCTGTCAGCCAAGAATAATCTGTGCATAGTCGCTGCGTTGTCTTTTCGGCTCTGACCCAAGCTTCCGGTAAGTAAACTACTCTATAACGAATCCTGTTATAACCTATGGAGCTGTCCGCTTCGTTTGTCAGTCTCATGACACCTTCTCATAGTGGTGGCCATCACACCTCTGTCCCTCTCTGGGCCTCAGTTTCCCCATCTATAAAATGGAAGTAATGATGGCAGCTCACTCGTGGGTTTGTTGGGAGGATTGCATAGGACAGTTGTACGTGGCACCCCGTTGGGGACCAGGAAGGGCCTGGGAGACTCTGGAACACTAGGGGGTGCCACCACTCCAGGCACTGAAAGTTGGGGACGATTGAGACACATCGCAGAGGAAACCAGAGGCACCGCGTCCCGGGCGAGCCACTACCCGCCCCAGGAGCCGCTGGGCGCGCTCTCGGAGACCCCGGAATGGCAGCTAAATCGCTCTGATCACTCAGGAAATCCCAAGGGCTTAGGAGCTCTGTGTCAGAAAAACTACAAAGACGGTGAGGAGAGTTTCTATAACCTTCACCCGGCTTCCCCTAACGTTTACATCTTATCACCGTGGTCTGTCAGTCAAATCGGAGGCGGTAACAGCGCGCTGCCGTTAGCTAAGCTGCAGGCTTTATTTGACCCTCATCGGTTATTTCTGTGCTTTTTCTGTGCCACCCAGGATGCCCCGCTGCTGTCAGTGGTCAGGTGTCGCTGGTTTCCTGCGGTCCGTGTTTTTCAGTCTTCCCTCGTCTCTGATGACCTTGGCAGTTTCGAAGAGTATTGGTTATTTTGCAGAACGCCAGTGGCCGTTCGAAGCTAGAAGACGTAAGAAACAGATTCTCCGCGGCAGCCTCCGGACGGGGTACAACCCTGCCGACGCCTCGATTTTGACCTGATGACTCTGATTTTGGATTTCTCGCCTCCAGGACTGTGAGAGAATGAGCATGTGTTATTTTAAGGCACCAACTTAAGAGGAATTTGGTGCAGCAAATGTAGGACACTAATATACCCTACGTCCACTTACGTTTTATTTATGTGTGACGTATCTAGATTATATTTCAGAGTGAAACATTTCAAAGTTACTCTAATGGCTTTTCCTTTTCTTTCGAAAGTGATGATGCAAGTTCTCGCAATCGGGCAAATGGATTTCAAACCCACTTGAACTTTTTTACGCGAAGTATTTCCAAGTAATGCAGCTCCGCCTCTTGCCTTGTGAAAGCAGCTGCCTACTATGCGCAAACGGGCAAAATGAATCAGACGAACAGGGTATCCGATACGCTGCTCTGTTGACCTAAGGGTTGCTTCTTTGTAGCACATCTGAAGTCTGGATGCAGCTTTTCATCCACGGGGTCCTATACGTGCTCGTCGCCTGCGTGCGTGTATACATCAAAAAACACCAGCTTCACAGCGTGGAGAGCTGAGATCAGCAGCTTGGAAGAAAATGTCAGAAACGATACTTTTAACCCCCCAGGAAGCAGAGCTGTGGGGGAAGCTGTAGGTGGATGGTGAAGCAGACACGTTTAGCAGCAAACCCAACCCTCACCCTAACTTGACACGCGTCAGTGAAAATCTAGCAGAGAGAATTGGCACCGAGGGGTGGAGTGGGCTGATGGATTGATAAAGGTCTCCTCGAAGCTGTGACGTTGCACCTGGGTCACGATAGAGAGAAAGGACTGCGCCAGACGGAGGAGGTGGCGGTGGCAGAGAAGGTCAGCGAACCACCCAAAATGTGTGTTCCCCTTCCCCAGTGCCTACGGAGAGACTACATTTCCCAGCCTCCCTTGCACGGTCTGGTCCATAAAAGTCGCCCATTTTGTCCATCTCTTCTCCACCTGCAGATCGGATGTGGATGCCAGCGTATCAGCGATCTATTGCTGCGTAACAAATCACCCCCAAATCCTCGCCGCTTAAAATAGCAGCCACTTATTATCTCACATACGTTTCAAGGGTCAGGATTCCAGCACAGCTGGACGGGGTCGTTCCGCCTCAGGCTGTCTGTCTCAATAGGTTTCGGTCAAGCGATTAATCAGGACTGCGGTCATCACAAGTCCCATCCGGGTCTCAAAGTTTCACTTGCAGACTCACGTGGCTGTCGGCAGGAGGCGGGGATTATTGGGGTTCATCTCGGAGCCTGACTACCACGGCCAGGGAGACCTTGGGAGCCAAATGCTAACACAGTGGTGCTGTCATGGGCGGGGGTTCCTACCCGTCTGCCTCTCTGCTGATTGGACTTTACGTGAAGGAGACATAAAAATTAGTTGTTTAAACCACCGATGGGGCAGAATTTATCCATCTCTGTGGTTAATGATGCTTTAACTAATACAGCCAGTGGGACGGGCTGTGGAATTTAAACTGAACACATAGCGACTTTATAGAACTTTATAGAATTTAAAAAATAAATATGAAAAAAGACGAATAAAGAAAACCCTATTCACCCAATAGAAGGAAGGAACGGAAAAAAATAATACGCTGAATAAACTCCAAACGGATCAAAGATTTCAGGGTAAAATATGAAACCAGAAATGAATGAGGAGCAAACATTGGAAAATTCCTTTACGGCTCGGGTGTGGAGAAATGCTTTGAGCTATAACTCAGAATCCAGGCGTGTAAGA